CACTCCTCCTTCCTGGGCTCGTCCCGCTCCCTCCTGCTCTCCTTCCCCTCCTTCCGCTTCTTCTGGGGCTGCTGCTCCGGCTCCCGGGGAGCCCTGGGGGCTCTGCTGGGCTTGTCCCCCTGTGCCCTGTCCTTGGCTCGCGCCTCCCTTCGGCTGCTCCGCTCCACCTGGGCAGCACGGCTCTCCCGGGCCTTCTCCTCCTTCTTCTCCTCCTTCTTCTCCTCCTTCCTCTCCTCCTTCTTCTCCTCCTTCTTCTCCCGGCTCTTCTTCACCTCCACTGCAGCCGGCGACACCTCGGGGACATCCTCAGGCTCTTCCTCCTCATCCTTCGGTGTTGAGCGGCCAAACCACTTCTTGAAGATCCAGGGCTCTGCCTTGAGGGTGGGATGGAGGGGACCAGGCACCGGTGACGCAGCGCAAGGCACTGGGTCCCCTCTCCACCCCTGCCCCGGGGATGAGATGCTCCCCCCCACCCCGCAAGGTGCCCCGAGGATGCTGTTTCTCCCCCCATCCCGGACCCGTACCAAGTTGCTGTCAGCATCGCCGTCATCATCATCATCGTCATCACCATCGTCGTCACCATCATGGTCCTCAAACATGCTGCTCTCGGGCTGGGCGGGCTGGGCAGGCTGGGCAGTCACTGGTTCTTGGACCTCCTCCTCCTGGGCGCTGACCACTTCTGGGAGGGGAGAGGGACAGGCCACCGTCAGCAGGGGACGAGACTGCTCAGGTCTGATGTCCCAGGCATGGGGTACCAGGGCCACCCCCACCCTGGGACACGGTCCCATCTCAGGCTGGATCTGGGGTATCAGGGCAGCCTGGAGCATCTGAACCCACCGTGAAGGGGAGGTGGTGGAAGGTCCTGCCTGCCATGGCTGATTCCCTCCCTGGAGCATGGTGCTGGAAGAGAGGAGGGGAGAGGAGGCAGGAGGTGGCAGCAGGGTCTGCCCACCCCATCCCCCTCCATCTGGCTCCCTGCTCACCTTGGAGAACCTGGAAGGTGACGCTGAGCAAAGCGACGACAGAGGCCACCAGGATGCACTTGTTGAGGGTGAGCCCTTCCCAAAGGAGCGGCTCCTCCGCGGGGTCCAGGCTGGGGGGCTCCACCTTCCTCTGCACGGGGAGGCTCTTGGGGACTGGGGACCCCCAAGGACAACAAAGTTACTGGGGGAGCTGGGAAGTGGCAAAGGGGGTGTGGGAAGGGCAGGGGCAGGGGCAGGAGCTGCCTGCCCTGCCACCACCAGCAAAGGAAGGTGTTTGCACCACAGGGGTGGGGAAAAGAGCATTGGAGGGGGCTGAGTCCGAGGTGTTTGGGCCACGATGGCGTTACAGCATCCTGGGGCTCAAACTGGAAAAACCTCTGCCCGTGCTGCTGGCTCTGCTGCTCCCCCCCAGCAGCAGATTGGGCAGGGTGGAGAGGAGAAGGAGGAGGAACAGGGATTTAGCAGGCGGATGGGAAGCCACCGCTCCATGTCGCTGAGCTCCCAGGGACTGTGGAGAGCAGAGCTTGTCCTGTCACTGCTCTGTGGCCAGATGCTGCCTCCTGGGCTGGCTGGGGATGCAGGACAGGGTCTACGCCTCTGTGGCCACCTGGGGCCAGGCTGGCCATTTTGGGGCAGAGAAGGGCTTTCCTGCACTTACCTGGAGGCCCAGCAGCACTGCCTTTGGCTCCCACCTTCTCCGCCCGCTTCTTCTCCACGGCTTTCTTATCCACGCCAAGCGGCGCTGGCTCTGGCATGCTCAGCTCAGGCTTGTCTGGATCCCACTCAGAGACACCAAGCTGTGTCCTCGCCTCCTCTAGCCCCTGTGGGGAGGGGGTGCAAGCGTGGTGGAGGGTGTGAGAGCATTGCACAGCCCCGCGGGGAGAACAAAGCAGCATGGGGGCCATGGCTGCACGTGTGTGCCCCCCCCCCCCAGGGTAAGGGGTGCTCAGCGCAGCCGTGGAGGGACCCGGTCTCTGTGCTCCGCAACCCGTGCTCACACTGCCCGGGTCCCCCGGGGCTGAGCTGATGCTACCACTGGCCCTGAGCAGCATTAACCAGGCTCATCACCCGCTCCTCGAGCACCTAACCCCAGTGTGTGTATTTGCAGCCTTAAAAATACGTTGGGTTTTATTTTTTTTCTGGTCTGCCAAGATGGGTTTAGCCACTAGCTGGCTCCATGCTGCAGAGCAGGCGCTGGGGTGCGGCCGCAGCGCACACGGGTGGGCTGGTGGCTGCCGACTCCCGGGCTGCGCTTGAGCAAGCCCACCCCAGAGGAGCCCTCGGGGCTGGATTTGCCCCTAGGCCGGCTGAGCACGGCTGCACATATCCACCGAGGGCGGCGGGTCGGATCCAGGGCACGCTCGCCGTCGGGGTCGGTGTGCTGGGAGGAGAGGGAGTGCACGATGCATCGGGGTCTGGGCTCGGCGCTGCTGGGGCTGGGGGGTTTGGTGGCCAGGCTGGCTGCTGGCCCACGTCAGCAGCACCGGATCCGTGCCACGAGGGAGAGCTGCCCACCGGCACGGATCAGGGACAGCGACAGCTGAAGGACGTGGCCTTCGGCTCCCCTGGGACAGACGTGGTGCAATGCCCGGCATGGCCCTCCTGGGCTGAACGCCGCTGCGGGACAGCCCCCTGCTCAGCCCCCCTGCCCCGGCGCAGGGACCCCCCTGGCAGCCCCCCAGCCCCGGGATACCGCACACTTACATGGGCTCTACCGCTCTCCCCGTTGCTGCTCACCGGCGCGTCGGCATCTGTTGAAGGCAAGCACAGTGCAGTCCATTAGGTGGTGAATTTGGAGAGGTGGGAATCACCGGGGGCTGGGGGCGCGTGCATCTCCCACTGCCACCCACTGGCTCGCAGAGTGGGGACATTATGGCCATGTTTCCCCCATTAGTGCGGCCAGGTCACCCGTGGAGAGAGGTTTCAGAAGCCCCTGGTCGTCGTGGTCGCAGCTGGAGCATCACCGTGCACGCCTGGGGCTGCTGAGCCCTGAAATGGCACTGTCCTGGATAACCCTGGGGAGCTGCCGCCGAGGGGGACGGTGACCTCCCTGCCAAGGCACACGGGGGGATGAAGAGCCCAGGGTGTGCACGGACACCCTGAAATCACGTGCTGGAGGCAGCTCAGGCTGGATCCTAGACAGCAGGACAAGCTCCAGCTACTGTGGAGCAACCAGACCTCGAAGAAGACTGCAAGCCACCCAAGATGACTGCGAGGCTCAGGGGTGACTCCTGGGGCTTTTCTCAGCTGTGAAGTGGAAGAGAAAACCAGAGGGTCCACAGGGCTCTGCAGCGGTTCGACGCAACGAAGGGCTGGGGAGCATCCTGGGCTCCTTGGGCTGCCTGGGGGTTTCGCTGCCCCTGGGTCTGGGATGCACCAACACGGTCCTGACGCCAAGCGGCCTCAGCCCTCCCGGCACTGCCAAGCACAGCCCTTGCTCTGCAGGGATCTGGATGCCACATCCCTGCAAGCCCTCACCAGAAGGAGGATTTTCTGCTGTCTTTGAGCTGGATTTAGGTTATTTTCCCCCAGTGGAAGAATGAACGCTGAGAAAAAATCCCAGTTCTCAGGATGAGATCTAAGACACGATATTGGAAGCAAAATAAATGAATAAAAGGAAAACTTTTGGTTGGGGAACCACGGCCTGAAAGGTCTTGGCTTTCAAGAGGAAATCAAAATGTCTTTGGTTTTATTTTGATGATGGCAAGTCTGGTCCTGTCTCTGCTGGGAAGCGAAGCAGCTGCCCCAGGACTCTCACTTTGGCTCGGGGGGGGGTGTTCCCAGCCCCAAGGAAAGCACAAAGATGGAGAATTATTCCTTAAAGAGTTTTTTCTCCCAAATGCTGTAATATTTTTTGAGCTACACAGTTATCCACACTTTTTTTGAGCAAAAATGAGTGCAAGGAAGATGGAGGAGAGCACAAGCCTCCGTTCCTCTTGGCCGTGGCCATGGCTGATGTCCCCACAGGGTCGGCGCCATGCAGGTGCCCCTCGATAACCAGAGGTCACCCCATGCTTTCACTGAGCTGCAAAATGTTGAGCCCTCTCCTGTGGAGCCTCAAGCACCACGGCAGCGGTGCTGTCACGGCCACGGCCGGCACCTCCTGGCCGCCGGCTCGCAGCGAGGACAAGGTACCTTTTCTCCCGTCCTTCCTTGGCTGCCTCTGCGCGCTCCCCACCTGCCCGGGCAGCTCGTCAGTGGCCTCAAGGCATCCCAAGTCTTTCTCCAACACCTGATGGGGACCTGCTGCCATGGTTGCTTCAAGGGCCTCTCACTAAACCGAGAGGGATAAAACAAACGCCGGGCGGTCAGCGGGCAGCAGTGCCCCACAGCACATGGCCGTCCTGCCACGTCCTCACCGTGGTCCCCGGTCGCTGGTTGAGCTCAGCTCCTTGTTGCAGGGTGCTGGGCTGTTCCAACGCCTCCTTCCCTTGGGCTTCACCCAGACGGAGGAGCCCAAACCACCTCCAGCCCCCGGGCATGTTTCCAGGCTTTGCCATGATGGCTGCAGGGCTCTGCACCAGCCGTGCCGTGGCTGGGCAGGCAGCCATCCTCCCCCCAGCGCCGACAGTCATTAACGCGGTCCCACAGCTCTGTGTCCAGGTCTGTTCCCCCCCCAGACAGCAGATGGGGGTCAGTGCCCCGGAGGGAGACATTTTGGGGCTCTACGGACCACGCGGGATCCTTGTCCCCAGCCAGCATGGATTGTGTCACCCACAGGACCAGGCTTCCTAGGGCCGGTTCCTATCGGACCAGCTCCAACGCTGCTGTACCAAGCACATGGCCACTGCCCAAGCCAAGCATGGCAGGCACGGCAACTGATGCCAGGGACAGCTTGCCCACGTCAGGCAGGTCACCCGCAGCCCCAGAGCCCAGCTCCAGCCCTCCTGCACAGGAGACCTCCCGTACGACTGCTCGACCCGTCCATCCCCTCCCCGGCGCTGCCCGTGCTCCCGCTCCCTTGGATGCACACTCCACACGGCAGAGCTTCTCTTGAATGCACAAAACGACAGAGACTCAACGAAGAACCGGCTCCACTCTGCTGTCACTGGGACTTTTCCTGCACGAGCTCCCGAGGTTGCCTCTACCACTGACTCACATCAAAGAAACTTCCAAAAATAGTCCCCTCGCCTGCCCTGCTCTCCCTGTACATGCTCGCACGGCAGCACCGGGATGGGCCCCGTGGCCCCCGAT